TTTTTGTTATGCCACTATCCCACGTTGGAAGTTTATAAAACAATTGAAGAGATGAACATCCATAAAAGGCACTATTCCACATTGGAAGTTTATGAAACCATTTGAGATGAGTGCATCTATAAAATGAACATGACATCCATTAATTTTCTATGGACATTTGAATTGTAATAATTTATAAAGACCATTCATGAAATTAAAATTTTTTAATCTTAAAAAAAGAAAAATCGAGAAAACCACTCAAAACCGTGACCGGTTCACCGGTTTACGGTTAAATCGGCCGGTTCAGTGGGTTTTGAGCAGTTTTGTAATAATCAATTAATTGGGCATGGTTTCGCCCAGTTTTGGATCTGGGGTTTTACCGGCCTGGCCTGGCCGATTTTGACAACATTGGTAAAAAGAGAATTACAGTTCCTTGATCAGGTGGAAATATTCATTCAGTTTAATAGCCTGCATTATAATTTAATTTGATATGTACATAGGTAACCAAAATACACTGAAAATACTTACAAAATCTGTATAGTCATCCCTGATATACAAGGACTCATTATGAAATCCTAATAAAACAGGTTATTTCTAAACTAAGAAGGACAATCCAGGGCAAGCCTATAACAAACACAAGGGGACGAAGAAACCTACAAGAAAACATATAATAGAGAAGCTACAGGGAAAAAAAAAAAACAAAAAAACTTACAGCTAGAGTTGTAACTGGGCTGGGCTCCAGACCTTACATGGCTTAGGAATGGACCATGCTACGAGCCAGGCCTCCTGAAGAGATGAACCGCTCTTAATTTTTCTTTTGTGTGTTTTTCTGTTTTGCTTTTCATTTTTATATGATTTCATAAATCAGACCACTTCTTTGCTATCCTAAAACTCTTCTTTTCTGAAAAATCAAGGGACAAAACCTTCCTTCCCTCTCATTTCGTTCTTTTACTTGAAAATTAACCAGACAAAGTAACAAACATCTTTCATCTCTTCTTTTAACTTCCATTTTCCCTCCTGTCTAATGGTCATTCGTTTTCTTCCTTCCACCATAGCACCATATACTTCTTCATGACCGTTAGCATCTCCTCCCTCCTCTCTTTTCGGGAAAATCTCTCTAATAGATCTCCTTTTATTTTTCATTAGTGTGTGATTTTGAACACTGGATTCCACTTCTGTATATTATCTGAAAAAAATAGTGAAATTTCAGTTGCTGATATTTGGGTTACATTGTCGACAGCATTTGGTTGAGCTGAGGTTTTCTGAAAATTTATACTCATCATCTTCTATTCTAACATCATATATGTAATCTGTTTAAATCTTTTTTCTATAACCCCGTTTGTATTTAGATATTGGCTTTTGTCTTGCTATCCGTTAATTTTTTGTAAATAACGCACAGCTAATCAGAAGCCTGGTCCTAATCCAGGGAGTGTTCTATGTATAGCAATTTGCAGTGCTATTCTGATTTCTGAATAAAGAAACACTTCAAAGTGTGTATCTGCACCTAATGTGCATTTCAAGTGTCTGTTACACAGTCTAATCTGAACGTGAAAAAATCAACTCTCCAATTGATTGAACCCTTAGTATGCAAAACATGGACAAATCATAGCAGACAATACTTGGGGTAACAAGATAATGAAACTGAGTATTCAAGGTTTTACAGAGCACATCTACATTATCTAATAGGTGGATAACTAGATTTCATAAAATAAAACCTAATTTAAACCCAACTCTGGCAAAAAGTTGATCCTCAACTAGATATGCTCCACTAATTTAGTAAAGCATTTGACACTCATCATTGAAGGACTTAGAGATGCTTATCTACATAAAGTACAAAAGCCGTCGTAATACACCCACCAAAAGGAAAATTTTACACAACCAAGCATCCAAATACAAAATTTATCAACCATAACTACAATGAAAATACATTTTAGCTTAATTGAAATCCACAGAGTAGAACCTTTCCGAAAATCAATAAGGGGTCATTATAAATTACTATATCATCTTAAGTAGAAAACCTAAAAGTAATCTATTAACCGATCAGTTAATCAGTTACTTCTAAAAAAGACTACAATGAAAATCCCTTTTAGCTAAATTGAAGTACAATACAAAAACCCCTAAAATATCAAAAGGGGATGGTAAAAAAATAATGCATAATCCTAAATAGAAACAAGCTAAAGGAACCCACTAAACATATACTTCAAAAATTACAAAAATAAAAATAAAAATTGATACTTGTATGTAAAAAAGAGACCTTTCCGTCAATGACAACCCAGCAATCTTCCTGGGTGTTGTGCTGCGACGCTTCTTCCATTGAGTAAAGCTTTGTTAGCGTCGGCATCTTTTCCTACCTTCTGCTACTCTCTGTGTATTTGTTTGTGAGCGAGAGAGACAGGATTTCTCGATCCGTACAAGAGTCCGCGATTTCTCTCTGGTTGGTCTTTGGAAGGACTAACCCTGCAATTGATATTAGATCGGGTTCAAGATTAGTTCCTTCGATTTGTTTAGACTTCGACTATCTTGTCGTGGACCGAAACACCTCAAATTAGTCGTTGGTACACATTCTTTTAAAATATATTATTTTAAAACTCATTTTCAATCACACATTTTTCAATAAAATAATATTTTTATCACATCAATAATTTTTCTTTACTTTCTAATAACATATTTCCCATTGTAACACTATTTAAAATACATTATTTCTTCAATAATATCTATCAAATGCACTCGTAGTTACTTGTGCCCTCTTGCTAGTTAGAATTGTGGATTGCGAGTCTATACCACCTAAGTTAATAAACTTTTATCTATATACGTAAATTCATGTATCAAGGGTTGATTTTCGAGTCTCATGGATAAACTATTTTTGTTGCCCGTGTGAACGTCTTCTTACTTGTTCGATTATCTTTCATCTTCTTCATCATGAGTCTAAACATAACTAGTTACATATTTCGTCTGTAAAGCTCACTAACATGTAAACATCATAAGTAGTATTGTGCTACACTTGGTGCCAAGGCGTTCACTTATTTGCAATTCACATCTTCTAGCTTGCTTGCATGCTCTATGTTCACAACATATGGCCTTCTCAAACATACTAGTTGGAAAGAGCTCCTGGCTCCATTCGAAGTATTTGGAGTCATTCGCATGCCCTACAACGTAATCCTTGTACTCGTCACTTTCTATGACAATTTTATCTTAATGCTTGTCGCTATACCCTTCACCGGTGTGTAGTCCAAGTAAGGTAATCCATAGTTGATTAGAAGTGTCTTCATATAGCATACTCATTCCCACAATATTGACATTTTGCCATATTCGCCAAACTATGCGACATCATCAACGATTGCATTTCTAGCCAATGGACCATGCGACAAGGTTAGAATCATAGTCAATGCACATGGGTTAGCATTCGAGTGCATTAGAGTGCTTTTCCTTGATAACTCGTTTAGGATACATACAAGGTTCAAGGCTGCAGTTGATGACAGCATAATTACATTTAGTTGATAGTAATTAGTAGTTAAGTCAGATAAATTGACATCTCATATTAGTTTACAGTTTTTATTTTATGATGCCTCGTTTAGTTTTTTGTTATTTTGAGCTTTTAACTTTAAATTTTTTTAATGGATTACACTTTTTCTGTTTGATCAAATTCGTCCCTTTTTTGTTATTCTTATTTCAAAGTTAAAACAATATACTTTGATGAGAAACTTTATATGTATAGTTGAAATTAATGTTTAACTTTGACTGAGTTTATAAACTATTTATATATTTGTTTGCCAAAAGAAGACTTACATATATTGTGATAGGTGTCAAGGAACTCCATACTTATTAACTTAATTACGATATATGTGGTTAAATATCCTATTTGGCATTAAAATTTCTCAAATACTTTTTAAGGATAATTGGCACAAAACCCAATTGATATTTGTCTTTATTGCGGAATACCCCTTATCCTTTCACATTAGCAAAACGGTCTTACTACAAGTACATCACCCCTTACATAAGGGGTGACATAATAGTCGAGTGACGCCTCCTCATTGGAGGGGCGCCTCGGCCCACATGTGGGGCCTCGAG